ATTAGTTATCAGAGCCAATAATAGGTGTATTTACAGTGAGAGGGTCAATGAAAAGTAACACAATACATAATTTAATATTATTGTAATGCTCACTACTCTGTTACTCAGGATGTAAAATTTTGTTTAAGCAATTAAATAGCAGTTTTTTTCCTATATACAATACAAAAATGAAAGTGCTAAATATATTCTTTTTAATAGTAGTCATTGTCAGAAGTCTCCTGTAAAATGTTAACTAAATAAAGAGCTGATACTTTATACTTGTATTTGATCTGAATTGCACATTGCCTTATAATATTGTGTGTGAATATTGTGCATGGATTTTAATACTAGCTATACAGAGAGGTCAATATTATTGCATGAATACTGGAACACAAATTATCATGATTTAAAGATAAATACAACATTCTGAATAATGTAAAGATTGTGGTTGTGTATAATATTAGGATTAACGTAATTGGCTACAAAATGCCTCCAGTGTGGGAAGGGGATATGGATGAGAGAGTTTGAAAAATTCAAAATATGTTAAAGGTTGTGAAACTTAATTTCAGAAATTGTTCAAATTAAATCAAATGGAATAAATAAATAAGATGCATTTCCATTTATGCCAATGCAAGAGCATTATGAGTAATGATACAATGACAAAATTTTAAATTTTATGTGCACTACCACTGAAACCTCTTTAAACTTGATGATTGGATAGAGGTTTCAAGAAAAAAAATCATTTCCAATGCTAGCAAAAAGACCATAGTAGATGAAATACTGTAAAGCAAGTATTTGCTTCAACTTCATTTAATAAACAATATCTGATATAAGAACTCGGTCTCTTTAATATTACTTTCATCTAAGTTTACGAGAGTGAGAATAATGAAGGTATGATTCATAGCTATTTAAAAGACAAGCGGAGATCACACACAGCAGGTGTGGAAGCTTATTTAGCATCACATACACACACACACACACTCACTCACACACACACACACACACACACACACGGTAATAAATGTAGTTTCACTGTTAATACCAAGATTATCCAATAACAAACAACCCAATGACTCCTCGACTGCCTGAAAAAGTGTTGCATTATACTGTCTCTGACTTTAGACAAATAACACACATTTAGGTAAATTTCCATCATTATCAGCATAGTGAAATTTTCCCAATGGCAGAGATACTTTTCTTTTTCTTTTTTGAGGTATTGAGTTCAAGAGCTTCCCATTGGGCTACCTTCTCTATCTATCTATCTATCTATCTATCTATCTATCTATCTATCTATCTATCATCTATCTATTTCTTCTGCCTACCCACCCATTGATTTATTTGAGATACATCTTGCTGAGTTGCTAAGTTACCCAGTCTGGGTGCAAATTTACAACCTTTCAGCCTCAGCCTCCCAGAGTGCTGGGATTACCGCACTAGGCAATGATTGGACCAAATTTACTCTCTTCACTATTATACTCTTCATACCAGAACAGTACCAGGAAAGAGGTATGTACTCAGCACAGTCGTTGTTAAAAGAATGAAAGTTATAGGCTGTTAATATTAACCACATTGAAAGGAAATACTTTAGACTATCACAGCCATCTTGTAATTCAGGAATAGAGCCAAGACTCCAGAAAGCTTTGAGAATGTGGTAGAAAGTGTAAAAACAGGAATAGGGGTAAAAGAAAGATCACCACTTAATCTCTAGGACTCAAAGTTCAAGGCCATGATAGTTTATACAGCATATCTGATCCATAGCTAATGATATAAACTGCTTTTCCAAGGACACTTATTATAATTGAAATTAAAAAGCTTAAATTTGGTCAATAGATAGATGCTTCAAAAGCGATGCATAATTTTAAGTGAAAGAACATGGTTCTTTGGGAACAGTTTTCAACAACACTCCCAAGGTACACCTGCTGTCTTTTTATTGATTAAAATTAGTAATTTGCAATCTCTTTCAAAATGTAGTGATCCATAGGCCTGGGACTCAGGTTCATGACTAGTTTCATAAAGGAGAAATAACAGTGCATAATAGAGAACTTGAGTTTTCTGAGAGAAATGAAAATTGCATTCCAATTAGTTAAATTATATGAAGAAATAAAAGTAGTTAGAAACCCTATATATATCCATGTATACATGTATATGTATGTATTCATACATATATGATTTTATATATATTATGAAAGATCAGGAACTCTATTGCAGGAGTAAAAGAAGTATACTTTATTTGTAGGTCGACATTTGATTTTCCAAGCCTCAAATTCAGCAAAATCCTATTGAAGACAAATTTGAACCAATCTCAAAGAATTGGAAACCTAGAAAGTTACAGCTCTGTTTGTACCTTCTTTATACAGAACTCTTCTCTTAAGCTTATTTGAAATAAGACGTTTGAATTAAAGTAAGTTCAAGAAGGCTTTCCTATGGAAAGGAAATAATTTCTAAGTAAGCTAGGAAACATTTTGCAAGTCATAATAATTGTTTCAAGGGAGTTTGGGAAATTTTTTAGAGCATAATTTAAATTAAATTAGACTATGAAGGGGTGAAAAGATTGAAAATGCCTTAGTAATAGTTTGCATGCATCTATAATATTTCAGGTGACAAAGATTAATATAGATTGCACTGTTGCATGAAACTAGATTTTATGTTTAAAGACAGTCTCATAACAAAATATATACCTATCATATTTAATCATACTGTTTCTTTAATTTGTTATAAATTATGAAATCAAGATAAAATGAAGATACAATAAGGTATCATACCAAATATCTCATTTTAAAATCTAAAATCGTTTTCTCATGTTTTAATGATTAAAAAAATAAAATCTCATTTTCATGGACAAATACACTCCTACAAAAATTGCACTTCATGAAGACACCATTTTGTCACAATTCACCAGAAGCTTTCATGTGAACTAGAGAAGTACAAAGTATAAGGCATAGTCACACATCATTTCGTAAGAACTGTGTGTATTTGGAAAAAATGGGAATACCACATTTCTGTACATAATACATTAAGTTTTTATTTGTTTCTTTGTTTGTTTGCAAAAGCCAAAGAATAAGTGCTTTTCATCTCTTAAGGATGTGTGATCTCTTACAATTCGTTAATTCTTCTATCTCAGAAAAAGAGCAGCCACCAACAATACATGAGTATACTTGTGACTGCATCCAATAAACATTATTTAAAAGAACAGTTATTGACCTAGATTTCATCTTTGGGCTATAGACTTTCCAAGCCCTGTCTATATGGATTTGTTATTTCCTAATATTCCATGAGGCAATACACGATGCTTACTGAAATCATTAGGGAAGATTTGAATTAGAAGATGTGATTAAGTAAGGCTTTCAAGATTGGGAAAAATAATCTAGGAAATAAAAGGAATGAAGCTCAGGATGCAAGATGAATTGAGCAAAAGAAGATAGTCATAAAAGTGTATTACCATGCAATTTGGTTGAGTTGTCAAGAGGAAATAAGAATTGCCATAAATATATTTTTCCAGTTCAAAGAAAAAAAGATGCGTCATTCCTGTCACAATGAATCACTGAAACTGTAACAGCATTTTGGCTTTTTAAAGGGTTGTTTAATCCCTTTCCCCATGGCATTTTTTACTAAAACTGCAACCCCATGACAGAAGACATTTGCAGTCTAATCTGAAGACTGACTGCTGTAGCCATGGGCTATGATTTAGTGGTTATTGAGGAACTTTCACAGGATCACCAATTCATTTTCTTCTCAGGACTTAATCTGGAATTCACTCTTTATAGCCAAGGTGAAGAAGATACAACCCCGATTGCAGAGGGTGCAGAACAGGTTTTGCTAACCTGGTTACAGAGATGCGGCTGGCCAGAATATTGATCACTCAGATTAGATCCGCTGAGAGCAGAACTAAAGCTGCCCATCACTATGGGGGAAAGGCACTCCTGGGGCAATTAATGACAGTGGCATGACTTTGGAGGAAGCAATGTGTTCCAATGCAGTTGGGAAAATGCTTATTCTCATAGTAAAGTCAGAGCATCTGCAGGGAGGAGATAAAAGGACTTCAAACACTAAATTCTCTTCAAGGAGATGGTAGCGTGACAATCTCTATTAACCTGTTGAATCTTTGGGTGCACAGAAAGGATAAACAGAACATGAGGATGAAAACAAAAACAAAAACAAAACAAAACAAACAAACAAAAAAATGTAATCCGGGCAAGGTGGCATACGCCTGTAATCCCATAATCCCAGCACTCAGGAGGCTGAGGCAGGAGGATCACTGTGAGTTGGAGACCAGCCTGGGCTACATAGTGAGTTCCAGGTCAGTCTCAACTACATAGTGAGACTCTGTCTCAAAACAAACAAACAAACAAAAATCCACATGACAATCGGGAACAAATCAAAAGGGATCAGTTTTACTTTCATGGAATTTAACCTTTTCACTGGGTCCCGATCAACAATGCTCTAAATGCACTTCAGTTTGACTCAAATTGACTGGATTCTTCCTGACTCCAGGGTCTAACTTCCTTTCGCTTTTGCCTAGCTTCAGTTTTAATTAGAATTTTGTGGGGAGAGGCAATGATGGAGCTTTCTTAAGAAACGTATATTTCTGTGTGTATGTAGATGGGAGTGAAAAAAATACAAAGATCTAGAGCTGCTATGGATTAAAAGCATAATATTATAAATATTTTGTATTTTTCACAAATCCCTTTCATTAAATCTAATGTGTGGAGAACAAGTGCAATGTTGTTTTTCATTGGCTTCCTTATGGTGCTAAACGAATAGTTGGAGTTGACTCAGGGATTAAAATATTTTATTTCTTAAGAATAGACAGCACAGAAATTACTGCAACATATTTTCTTTTTCATGTTGCCAATAAACATATTTTTGTTCATTTTGTTTTGGCAGCATGAAGAAAAAAGCAAAATTTCTCAGAAAACATTTCAAGTAAACAAGTTCTGTCTCTAAACAATGTACAAAAAGTAAGATAATACTTTTAGGATAGATATCATCAGAATAAATGTTTAATATAAACATATACTCACTTTTCAATTTCCTATTGTCCTATAGGTATGAATTTTTTTGTTTAAATTTCCCTAATTCCTCAAGGTCTATTGAATTTTTAATTACATATTCATCATATGAAAATAAATGTAGAGGTGGAGAAAATATATGAAGAATGTTCCAAAATTAATGAGGAGACAAAGACACTAGTGTTTCTATGGTAACAGAGTGGTAGCCAGTTGCTGTAGCACCATGGTAACTGAAGAAGTAATAGTGTGGGGTACATACAAAACACAAACTTCCAAAATTAAAAATTTCACAAAAGTAAAACATTCAGATGGGTAAAATTTGCACTGATAATGAAAATCCACACTTCCCTGATTCTGCTTGGGATCAGGACCCCTCCTAGCTCTTACAGTGCTTGATTAATGCAGAACCAGAGAAATCTATTGTTGTAATTTTTATGTAGACTATTGTCATTGTTAAAATATATTTGGCTGTTCTCTCTAAAAGTTTTACCAAATAATATGAGATAATATATGAACAAATGCTCTTTAAATCATGAAGAGCTGAGTAAATTCACCACTAGTTGTTTCACATCTTGATACTAACAGTCTGATACTTCATTAATATTTCTCATATATCTGTTCTTGGATAAAAATATGTGTTTTTAGTTCACTTTAATTTTTTACAGGAAGCATGTTTGTTTAAAGATTTTTTTTCAAATATTTAACTCTAGTTTTCTCTTGGGAATATTAAAGATTCATACTCAGCTTACGTAAGGAATGCAGTGGGTGCTAAGACATGTGAGGCTATGGCCTGTGATCATTCTTCTGAGAGCAGCAAAAGTTGAATCTAATGATTCAACTCCTTGTAATTTTTTTAAACTTTTTACATGAAGAGCTGATCTAAGGTAGTATGTATAAGACAAACATTTTCTTTATATGAAGATTAAATTCATAGAGGAGAATGTTTCTACTGTTACTTTATGTCTACTTTTAGAAAATTGTTTTAAACACAGTTGAATTCCATGTCCCAAAAACATTTCTGAAAAGAAAAACGCATTGGAAATTTGCCTTTGAGCCCCCTTGACATGGTTTAAGACAGGTCTTGTGCTCAGAGTGATCCTCCTGCCTCAGCCTCCCAAATACTGATTTTCCCTTTTATTGACATCAAGGAATCTTGGTTAATTCATTCAACAAAATAGGAAGGATAATCAGACTCTTTGATGTTTTTTTATGAAAATAAAATGCTGATTGTGGGGCATTCACCTAAACATGCTCACCTGGTTTCCAACCTTATTTCAGTTTCTGTTTCTAAGTCAGATAAACTATTTGTCTGCTTTGTTTTACCCTCTGAAAATTGGAAATTACCATTTTCAATTGTTAAAATATCACAGGGAATTAGAAGATTAAATTAAATAGCACATGAAAAATAATTTAAAAGTGCCATGAAAGTGCACACAGAAAGTGATATCTGTTGTTTTAAGGGAAAGAAACATTTTTTTCTTACTGGAAAATACCTGAGTTACAATGGACAGGAAAATACACTAAAAAAGATAAATACAATCATAATAAATATATGATTTCTGATACTATTTCTGTTTGTTCTTGTTAGAAAAACAAAAAAGATTTACTTCTCAGTCTTATGTATAACACATCATATAAAAAATATCTGTTCTTGTCAAGCATAGATAGTGGAGAAGTTTGGGATCAGATATATTTATTGTCATACAATTTTCCAGACAGTACACAGTTTTTTCATACTTTTGCAATATGTCTTCTTCAGAATTTACCTTCAATAAATTGAAGGTAATAAATTGTAATGACTGGACATTTTCCACTTGATTTCTTGAGTGATTATGACTCTGTAAGTAGAAAGTTGCTTTTACAAAGCTATTTTACATTTGTGATTACTGACTGGGTACAGTTGCTTCAGGTAAGATATAGCCTACTGGCAGCTACTGAATAATCAAGCAAACAGGTGTATGATGTGTCATAAACCTGGGTTCTAATTTCTGCTTCTATTATATATTAGCTGCAATAAATAATACTGCCAATCACCTGAATATCTCCATTAGTAAAATTATGAGAAATTAACCTAAATTTCAAAATTTGGTAAATACTAGTTTTAATGTGGACAATGGTATAATGTATTAGAAATATAATAGAAATTAATTTAGTGATAATATTAAGAACAAAACAAATAACTACTCAGGATTCTTCAGAGTTTTCAATATCTTTTCCCTTAGAAATTATATCAGTTTCCATATGCTAAATAGGTCAACTACCTACTATTAAAAATTTCAAAAGTTTATTACTGTCTTATAAAAGCCAGAAAACTCAGTATTTAAGACTTTAAAATTATTTATTAGAATACCATCCTAATTCTCCGCATTGATGCCATGTGATGTGAGAGATGAAACTGAGGTCCTTGTGCTTGTGAGGCAGGTGCCAGAACCACTGGGCTAAATATCTGGCCCTGCAAGTAAATTAATCACTGGCACCAAGACGGTGAGATTCCTTGACTGAAGGGTATTCAAGTTTATCAACTGTTATAGGAAGAAGCAGTTTAGGATTTTAAGTATCACTCCCAGTCCATAAAGAATGGGCTGCTATTTAAAATGGTAAAAATTTTTCTGTTATCACAAAAGGAATAAACATGAGAAAAGGAAAAAAAGTTTTTGTGGATAGGGAGGGGTGGAGGGGTTGAAGGGAGGGCAGGGAAATGGGAAATAAAATAAGAATCAAGACACATCATGTAAAGGCACAAATTCCCAATGATGAATGTCATCATATTGTATACCTAAAATGTACCAATAAACTTAATGAATAAAAAACTAAAAAAATAAATCACAAAAAATGGTGAAGATGGTATTGTTTGTATATATGTGTGCATACAAACATATATATGTATATATATGTATATAATATATATATATATATA